GAACCAGAAAATAACGCCTCCGTAATGAAAAGCCCCATTTAAAAAGACATGTTTCTAGCCAGACAACGGAAACCGAGAGCATTCTAAGAATGTTGCCGGAGGCAGGTCTGCGGGAGGTGGGGGGGGGGGGGGGGGGGGGGGGGGGGGGGGGGGGGACAGACCACCACCCCGAGAGGCAGGCAAAGCAAACCAGTGACCAGCAGCCAGCGGGTGGGGGGTCTGGACAGTGTCCGCCTGTCGGCCTGATTGGCCGTCCCCTGGAGAGTAAAGCAGGAGCCTCAACCTCCAGCCCATTCAAAAGAAAATATTCTAGCTCTGCCTCTCCTTGCACAGTGACTTTTTCTCTTTCCTTCCTTCCTTTCTTTTCCCCTTGCAGAATAGAAGATCAAACGGTTTGCCCAAGAGGCAGAAAATCCATTTATCTTCAAAGGCTCCCGGACATTTACTGGGGAACCCGGAGACGTGTGTCCAGCTAACCTCTGGGCCTCTAGTTATTCCCCTTTCCTTTCTTTTTCTTCCTCTTTTTTTTTTAATGTTTTTTATTTATTATTGAGAGACAGTATGAGCAGGGGAGGGGCAGAGAGAGGGGGAGTTACAGAATCTGAAAGAGGCTCCAGGCTCTGAGCTGTCAGCACAGAGCCCGATGCGGGGCTCGAGCTCACAAACTGTGAGATCACGACCTGAGCCGGAGTCGGACACTTAACAGACTGAGCCACCCAGGCGCCCCGTCCCATTCCTTTCGGAGCACGTTACACTGTGCTGTGCTCGGTCAAGTAAGGAGGCGCCTCTGCCCGAATATGTGAACAGGCTGGGAGTCCCGGGAGGGGCGAGCACACACCCCCTAAGATAACGCGCAGCTGTGTGTACCCCGGGGTGCTGCGCACACGACATTCTGCTCGTTAACATAAAGCCGACACCTCGCCTGCGGCACACGTGTCCCATCCGGCTCCCCTCCCAAATGCTCGGAGCTGTTGGCTCAGTCCCTGCGCGCAGAGACAGAGGCCCACGACGTGCTGAGAACAAGCCCTCTGGTCCTCTGTCATTCTGTCCGGTTAGATGGAAGCCAGCGCGGCTCTCAGAGAAGGACTCGCAGCTCCCTTTCAGTTCTAATAAGCCTCTCAGGAAAGCTGCACTTTACCAACTTCAAACAATTGCTCAAAGTTGGACCTTACAAAGCGTTCATAATCCGCTGCCTGCTGGCTGGTAAAAACCATGTACTTTGGATGAGGGCCACCCAAGGCTTAATTCATAGCTATGCTGTTTTTAAGCTGTGTGACCTTGGGCAAGTTACCTAACCTCTCTGGACCACCGTTTCCTCATTTGTGACATGAAGAACTACCTTCCGGAGTTGAAGGAGAGCCAAACAGACGAACATATGGAGGGAGTTGGCACACGGATGTTGGTAAACTCTAGTTACCTGCGTAAAATGGGAATTAACTGCCCACGGCTCTCATTGCTAGATGCCAAGCGGAGATGTGGCCTCCATCTGACTCGCTGCACTCCTGTAAAAGTCGTTAAGCCTCTGGCTTCCTTTAGGGGGGCACCGACTGAGACACCGGCCCAAGCAGGCACCGGGCTCTATGGATCTCCTCCCCCTTCTCTCAAAACCTGAAGAGGCGCCTGGGGGAGCTCAGTCGCTTAAGCGACTGACTCATGATTTCGGCTCAGGTCATGATCTCATGGTTTGTGGGTTCAAGCCCCGCATTGGGCTCCGGGCTGATAGTGCGGAGCCTGCTTGGAATTCTCTCTCTCTCTCCCCCTTTCTCTGCCCCTTCCCTGCTCTCACTCTCTCACTCTCTCTCTCAAAATAAACTTTAAAAAAATTAACTCCTGAAGCTCCTTAATAGCAGGAACTATTCTAGTCTCCCCTTTATTCCCCTGGGACACTGTAGCGCCCCCCCCCCGCCCCCCAAAATACCTCCTAAACGAAGGGTGTGGGGGAGGGGCCACTGGCGGTCACAGCGAGGACTGTGGAAATGCAGCACAGTCCCATCTGAAAGCTGTCGGGTGCAGAATTTGACACCCAGCGGTACCAGGTAAATACACCTGGGGTTTTAATTCAGGCCCCCCAGGATGCCATTGCTCTAATCGTTCCAGAAAGCATACTAGCTACTGCCCTCCCCCCACGCCCCGGGCATTACCTGGACTCACCTCACTGCTTTCTGTTCCAAGCAGGGTCAGAAGGGAGCCCTCCCAGCCGAACACCCAGGTACAAGATGTGCACTTCTGTTCTGTCCTCACGAACACACTGCTGCTGAGGGCCCCGTGGGGGCCTGTGCTCCCTTGGGCTTACACCGGAGCCAAACTCATCGCTCCCTCTTCTGTCCCCCCACCCCTCCCAGTACCTGTGTCCCCTCCCCCCCACCCCCCCGCAGGTGCTGACCCTGCTAAGACCACAGGGTGCGTGTCTCCTACCCCGCCCCCCCCGGGGAGGGGGTTGAGCAGCAGCCAAGTTCACCCATCTCTCCATTCCCTCCAGAGTCCGGGGCGCTTTCTCTCAGAGAGCAGATCTCCAGCCAGGAAGGGGTGGGTGACTGTGCTAATTGCCCGGGCTGCTGGGGTCCTCTGACCCCCCACCCAGGCCACCCCCAGCTCCAAGAGAAGACCCAGTTGAAGCCCTGCGGGGTCTCAGCACCAACTTCTGCCCTAAGCTACACATTGACACCTTGCGGCCCCTATTCTGCCCTCTCTGTGAAGAGGAGAACTTTCCTCTTTCAGAATCATGGTTTTCAGCCTTAAAAGTAAAAAGCTTAATACTTGGAGATAGAGCAGAAATCTTGCCTTCCCGCTTGGAGCTAAGGGCGAGCAATGAGCGCACCACACCGAGTGGCGGCAAGAAGGTGGCTTCGAGGGAGACCGAAGAGAGTGGAAGTTTCTATCTCAGGTCAGTCTCAAAGGGCTTCCGCGAGAAGCTGAATCGGAAAGGATGGGCTCCAGTTTGCTACAAAGAAAGAAGGGGATTCTGGGCAGAAGGTGGACGGTACGCCCACGCCTGGCCCGGAGCAGGGACACGCCATCGTGTGCCTGGGGACAGGGGTGCTTCCAGATGTAGGCATATACGGTCAGGGAGGGTGACGAGGGGCCAGCTCAGACTGAGCCCTGCCAACGTGCTGAGGGTCAGCTGTGTGGACCCAGGAAAGGACTCTGCAGACGCGATGAGGCTGTATCTCAGGGGGGCTTCCGCAGGAAGGTGTACAGGACGCACTGTGATACACCACAACCCAAAGACCAGCCCCACGTGGAAGAGGAAGGAGGGGAGGCGGAGCTGACTTCAGGCGTGCCCAGCGCTGGGGGCCCTCCAGCCCCGCCCTTGAGGGCCGCCCATCTCCCCCTGACATCTGCCGCACCCCTCCTGTGAGCAAAGTCTCCTGGGTCTGGTACCCACTGTCCCGTCCTTGACTAGACAAGTGACCATGGCAGAGAAGAACGAGGCCGTGTTCTGGAGTCAAAGCCTGGAGTTCAAGTCCCCGAGAGAGAAAACCCTCCCAGAGCTGCCTGCCAGGCTCCGTCTCCTTCCCGTTGGCCGTCTGACTCCACTGCAAATCACATCCACGACACCCCTGCAGACCTCAGACGCTCGGCCCGCAGGCTCCCTGTCCCGCAGGTTGACAGCCTTCCCCTTGACTCCTGCTGACCTTCAGGGCCTCACGGGAAGGTGCTGAACGTGCCCCCAGCCGGCCACAGCGACACAGCACCCCCCCCAAAGTTGCACCAGAACACCCCCAAAACCCCAGCTCTGATCTGAGCTGCCATGAACCTGTTCCTTGCTCCTCCGCTCTTCCTACAGCAAAATTTAAGAGCCTTTCAGCCACCAGACGACGACGGTGACATTTCCAGTTGCATCCAAAACTTCAAAAAACCCAAACAACAAAAACCATAAGCACAGCCTTCTGGAGCCGCGGGTTTCAGCCTCATTCTGTAATTTCCACAGGCGCGGCGGGGCCCTCCCGCATGAAGAATGCGGGTGTCCGAACAGTCGGCCCTGAATATATGATGTGGCCATAAACGCATTCAGACCGCGGAATGGTCTCCTATAAACTCTTTGACAGTCCTCCCGGCAGGAAACGGCATTCTAATGTAGATTTCTCCGATTTTCCCTAGAGGAACCCATAAACTCCGCAGGTTGCTCCTTCAGGAAGAAAAGCCGGGGGTGGGGGGCCAGGGATTGACTTCTCCCACGAGGCTGTCCTGTCTCCCCCCAACCCCCAGCCGTGCAGACATCCGCTGACAATGTCCTAGCGCTTCATCTGAGACCGTCCCCAAGCTCTCTCCGCTGGAACTACAAAGCAGTATGTCCCTTCAGCGGCAGTGACGGCTGAATAGGGGCGAGGTGCCTTCGGAAGAAAGCCAGGCAAAGATTTTCAGGGCAGAACAAACGACTGAAAAACTCTTCTCCAGAAACAACCAGGCAGGACCCAAAAAGCGCTGTGTCTTTATACATGATGCATGTATACAAGATACACAAGATATAGGGGCGCCTGGGTGGCTCAGTCAGTTAAGCGTCCGACTTCGGCTCAGGTCATGATCTCGTGGTCCGTGGGTTCGAGCTCCGCGTCGGGCTCTGTGCTGACTGCCAGCTCAGAGCCTGGAGCCTGTTTCGGATTCTGTGTCTCCCTCTCTCTCTGACCCTCCCCTGTTCACGCTGTCTCTCTCTCTCTCTCAGAAATAAATAAAACATTTAAAAAAAAATACACAAGATATATACATGGTATCTTTAGCATATCATATCCTAACTATACCCACTGCTGCTTCTGTGTCCATTTCTTGTGCAGCATTAATTACTTACAACCCCCTTAGATACCACTCCGAACAATAAAATAAGAAGACTCGGCCACTGGTGGAAGTCACTCGGCGTACCTGCACCTAACTCAGCGCTATGCTCTCCCATCCTCCGCCTGACCACAGTCCAGTGCTTTCTTTCCCACAAGCAAAAAGCCAACGCGACCCCTTCCAACCCCAAGCGGGGGCGCTGCACTCCCCAAAGCCAAATGGCACCGTACCTTAGGGAAAGCTGGTCCTTTCAGGCAGCCCGTAAACAAAGCAGCCCAGGGCAGCCTGTACCCCGCAAAGAGGGAGCCCTTGCAGAGGCTGACACCTCCCTGGGGCTGTGCCTTTGATCGCGTGGGGAGCCCTTAATGTCCCTGAGAAGAGCGCGGGCGCGGTCAGCCTGACACCCTGGCTCCGGGCCCCTGCCCAGAGAAGCGGTGGCAGCCAAGCCAGCCAGGGGAGAGGCGTCTGAGCCAATATCTGCTCCCGGGGCTGCAACAACCACCAGAGGAAAAAAAAAAAAAAAAACTTCAGCCGACCTTCCAAGTCGCGTTCCATCCGCCCCCTGGGGCTCCTGCTGGGTCAGATGGCAAATGCCACAGTTCTCGGTCTTCTTAGCACTGGAGCGTTTTGCTGGGTCAGAGCGCTCTCCACGCAGGTACATACCAATCTGTCAGGCTAACCACCAGCAGTTACACGGAGTCGTTTTAAACAACAGGAAAGTTTTGTGCTTGGAGGGGAACGGCGTACTCTTGCGCAGAGAACAAAGGGTCAGGAGCAGAGCCTCGGCTTTGCCCGCAGGAAGCCGGCAGCCCCGTCGGCCTCGGGTGCCGGGCTGACCCAAGGAGGCACGTGCCCTTCAAAAGGACCCCGTGAATACCAGGATCACCCCCTCCCCAACAAGGAAAGCTCCCCTGAGAGATACAGACGCACACCTTCCTTAGACTTCTCATACTGAAATCACTTCTGGGGCGCCTGCGTGGCTTAGCTGGTTTAGCGTCCGAGTTCAGCTCAGGTCATGATCTCACTGTTCGTGAGTTCGAGCCTGGCGGCCGGCTCTCTGCTGACAGCCTGGAGCCTGAAGCCTGCTTCGGATGCTGTGTCTCCTTCTCTGCCCCTCCCCCGCTCATGCTCACTCCCACACACGCCGGCGCTCTCTCTATCAAAAAAAAAATTTTTTTTTTAAAAAAAGAACGAAAGAAATCACTTCTGGGGCGCCTGGGTGGCTCAGTCGGTTAAGCATCCAACTTCGACTCGGGTCATGATCTCACGGTTTGTAAGTTCAAGCCCCGCATTAGGCTCTGTGCCAACAACTCAGAGCCTGGAGCTGCTTCGGATTCTGTGTCTCCCCCTCTCTCTGCCCCTCCCCTGCTTGCACTCTGTCTCTCTCTGTCTCTCAAAAATAAATAAACATTTTACAAAATTTCTTTTTAAAGAAATCACTTCTGCTCTGGAAAGAAAACGCCAGCTCTTGGCCACAGCTGTCTACACGACCCTGTTGTGACAGACTCTGAAATCTAAGAATCCTGATCTGATCCTAATTAAAGAAGGAAAGGAACAAAATCATGGGAGCTGACTACCTTTAACTAAACTTATTTTTATCTTCTCATCGGGGTCTTCTCTTTGCCTGCAAATACGACTCAGATGTGACCCAGGGGTATCCGTGTCATCTACCTTTTGTGACAAAGGCCAAAGGGCTGGATTATTCTTTTTTTTTAATTTTTTTTTTTTAATTTATTTCTAGGAGAGAGAGAGAGAGACAGCGTGAGCAGGGGAGGGTCAGAGAGAGAGGGAGTCACAGACTGAAACAGGCTCCAGGCTCTGAGCCGGCAGTCAGCACAGAGCCCGACGTGGGGCTCGAACCCACGAACCACGAGATCATGACCCAAGCGAAAGTCGGACGCTTAACCGACTAAGCCACCCAGGCGCCCCAGGGCTGGATTATTCTTGTCCGTGCCTCAGTCAGCAAAAAGAGTTCTCAGCTGCTTCTAGGTCCAGTTCCCAAAACGTACTAGGGGCTACAGGGTGGAAGGAAGAAGCCCCATATCACAGAGCTATTCCTTCTCCGGCTGAGCAGTGTCTCCCTAAAAAGGGCTGGAAGAGACCCCACTCTTTCCTAACCTTCCCAGCAAGGGCCAGGGCAGCACCCCCTGGTGGTTTTGCTTGAGCGAGGCTCCGGGAGTCCAAGCAAAGCCGTATGCAGCACCATGGCTTTGTCCATCTGGGGAGGCAGTCGGGCCTGGTGACCATGCACAGAGGACCCGCTGCAGCGTCCGCCACTTGGCGCGATGCCTGTAACGGCGGGTCACTGAAGCTGGACACTTCAGGAATGCCCACCAAGAAAGGAACATGTAATGTCGTCTCCGATACCCACATGCACAAAAGCTATCTACACAAAGAGTTTTCAAATAACGAGGATGTACGTTGGATATAACACGCAGCAGCAAAAAAGTTTTAATTGTTATACGGGGCTCCTGGGTGGCTCGGTCAGCTGAGCGTCAGACTCCTGACTTCCACTCATAATCTCACTTCACAGTTCACAGGGTGGAGCCCCACGTTGGGCTCTGCGCTGACGGTGTGGAGCCTGCTTGGGATTCTCTCTCTCCCTCTCTCTCTGCCCCTCCCCTGCTCTATTTCTCTCTCTCTCAAAATAAGCAAACATTTAATAAATAGTTATAAAAATACAAATAGGAGAAATATACATGTACATGTATATTTTATGTAATATATATTATATATGTTATATAAAACACATCTATATTTACATATTAGTAATACCATGTTAACATTATCACATTAATGTATTAAGTAGTATTATATAATATAGATTATGTATTACTCTATATTACATGTAACATATATTATACATTATATATAATTAACATATATATTTATATTTATATATTGAAAAATGTCTACAGTGATTGCCTCTAAATGAAAGAATTCAAGATTTCTGTTATCTTTCCTATACTGTGCTGACTTTGTGAATGGACGTAAATTGTCACCATCATGAGGAGAAAATGAGCGAAGAAAAATTTGTCTTTGTTAGGGCTGCATCACAGGACCTTTGAACCCATTATGCTTTTTCATTACTGTCAAAACAGGCTTTTGAGGGGTGCCTGGGGGCTCAGTGGGTTGAGCATCCGACTTCAGCTCAGGTCATGATTTCACGGTTCGTGGGTTCGAGCCCTGTGTTGGGCTCTGTGCTGACAGCTCAGAGCCTGGATCCTGCTTTGGATTCTGTGTCTCCCTCTCTCTCTGCCCCTCCCCTGCTCACGCTGTCTCTTCTCTCTCTCTCAGAAATAAATAAAACATTAAAAAAAATTTTTAGAAACAGGCTTTTGATGTGAAAATATCGTCGAGGTGTGTAAGGAGGAGAGAGAGCTCAACACATCAGTTCTGTAGGGGTGTTTCTGGGGTGAGCCGATCTTCTGAATGCAGGTCTGCAAACCCCATAGCTCTCAATGCCAATCCATCTCCTTTCCACAAACCCCTTTCTTCCATTCCACATCAAATGCCATTCTCCCCAGCCACATCCCCTGCACATTAAATATGACAAGCACTGACGCAGTCCCCATACAAGCAGCCAACGCAAACATCTGAGACTGATGTGTCTGCTTTATCTTTCTCTCTGACCTCCAAAGCCTGACATGATGACCCTCAAAAGGCAGAAGAGTCTCCATCTGTCCAACAAAGTGTCCGGGAGATCACGGTAACACCGTTAACAAATAAATAGGCCTTGGCGCTTAAGAAAATGTTTGCATGAGTATTTTTCACATCACTTGAGAAGCGCTTTACCTGTACAAACGGTGAGGTGTTACACGCTCACTGTCACAGCTGCCAGACGCTGACTGCTCAAAGCCTGTGCATCCCCTACCCACCCCCCGTCTTGTTAGGGCTCCCGTTCTCTGTGCATACTGCGCGTTTCGTCCGCCTGGGAAGTCCTCACCCCTCATCTGTGATACGAACTCCTACTCATCCTTCAAAACCCAGTTCTAGCATCTCTTCTTTTATGCGATGGCCATGACCTCCCCATACAGGCCTGACCGCTAAACTTCTTTGATTAGGTTTAACACACCTCCAGAAGCCAGACTCGAGAGACAGACTTGTGGCTGATGCAGATAAAGGGGACTGCGGTGTGGAGCTTACCCAGAGGAAGCCAAATGGTCCCACAAAAAAGAGACTCGGGACTCTGGCATATGTTAAGTGGAGAAGCAGCACTGTAAATAGGGCACTTCTCTGAAATACTGTATACACGGCACTTGGCCCCTCCACTCCCATCCTGGGGCCACACGCAGAGCATCAGGACACAGGCATCATCCCCAGGCAAAACGCACAAACTTGATATAAACAGAATCAACTAGGAAGTAGACCCGCTATTACAGACATAGTCTTGCATACAGAAAGCTCCAGATACCGGCTGATTTGGTCCTGGGCACCCGAGGAAGCAACACCTGCCAATCCACAAAGGACCTTCCCTCTCCTTCTTACACACACATGAAAATCCAGAGGTCGCAGCATCCCAAGGACTGAAGCATGAACAGAACAGCCAGGAGAAAACGCAGGGATACAAAGAGAATCAAAACAAAACAAAACACAATGACTTTGTTATCCTCTGAGAGACGGGAGGGCCATGCTTTGTCACCAGCCCATTCAACAAGAGACCAAACAGTGCAGAGAAGGCGCCCTTCGAGGTGACCCAGGCCGTCCTCTGGTTTTAGAGCTGAGGGACAGTCTTGGGCCCTCTGGGCTGTTATTAACAAAACCATCACACAGAGAGGAGCTTCAATAAAGAGCATTTCTTTCTTACAGTTCTGGAAGCTGGAAGTCCAAGATCAAGGTGCCCATAGATTTGGTGACAGTGAGGAACTGCTCCCTGGGTCAGCCGTTTTGCTGTGTTCTCACACAGAGGAAGAGCCAAGGCAGCTCTCTGGGGTCTCTTATAAGGGTACTGATCCTATTCATAAGCTCCTCCCTCATGACCTAATCGCACCCCAGAGGCCCCACCTCCTAACACCATCACATTAGGGCTTAGCTTTCAACATACCAATTCGGGGAGGACAGGAACATTCAGTCTGTAGCAGGGACCCATGGCTGCTGGGGAGCTGAGGAGGAAGAAGGTGGGAAAGCCACATGCATTTCCACAGCCAAGAGTTTTAGCCACTCTGTTACGTTGTTCCTATATACAGTCAGTTCTGCTATAATGCTGGGTTTTAAACTGCAAATTCATACCAACAGACTGATACATTACAGAACAATGTGACCACTTGGTGAATCTTCTGTGTGCTTAGAAGTGATTTCTTGTGCAAGAGACACTAAGGTGAATGCAGAAAAAAGGTGCCCAGCTCAACAGCACTGCTTCACAATTAGCAAAACGCACCCCTCGCACGCAGACCAGCTACCACCAATCACTGCTCGTGCTAGGAGCCACGCCCATCCCC